TGCTGTAATGCATGAATGATAACCTCCAGTCACTAGGTGGCAGCAACTCATACAGTGGTTTGTACAGATAAAAAATATAGAGATGTTCAACTGTCTGTGTGGAGTTTTCATATTCTTCCAATATTTGGTTTATTTCCATAGTGCTGTGGTTTATTTATTATATCTATGCTGGCTCATGAATAGCTAAACCATTTAATAACCAGCAAATGTAAACAACACTTCTTCTACGCTGACATTAATGTTTTTAAGACCACTTTAATGTATGGCTATGGCTGTGTGTTTAAAAAAAAAAAACACTGTTCATAAAAACAGTTTTGTTTAATCCTCTCTTCCTGTTGGATTGCACTGTTGGGCAGATGCCAACGCATACAAGTGGAGATAGTCATGGCCGCGATCGCCAGAGACAGTAATTTCATTAGTGATTTAATAACGCCTCCAGAGACACACTCTATATGTGACACTTAGACGAGGTTCATAATATGATGTATATTACATGTTGTTGGAGGAGCCCGTGCTAATTAAGTGGAATTACATGCATCAGCCTCTTGTTGCTGAGTTTAAGCTGTGGGAAATAAACGTGGGCACAGCAGCTGACTAGCCTTGATAAGGCAGCAGATGGTCGTTTTTATCAGACTCAATGTTTTCACCATGGTGGAAAAAAAATGTTTATTTTTAATGCAAATAAATGACAATCGTGAAATCAATTTCTGTTTTGAGTCTAAGGGCCAAATGAAAAGGTTATTTTGCGACAGAGGCTGAAATATGAACTTTAGTAAAATGACCTGGTGTGATTATTTTTATCTTGTTCAGTGAGAAACATGACAATAAATTACACATCAGAATGTCAAGATGCATGCAGATGATGTGTCTTTATTGGTCATACGCTCAGTGACGGACCAGACAAACAGCAGAGCTGAGCCTTTATTTGCCGTGAGCCCCGAGAAGCTTTTCTTTCTAGAAACTGTGTCCTCGTTGGGTTTCACTTCCTGGCATGTCACTGAGAGGTTAAATCATTGAACCTAATATGGCTTTATTTCTTTTTACTGGAGTCCTTAAACAGCCTAAGATGATACTGCTAGCTCAGTAGCACCAACATTGCTATGTAGTGTGTAGCAACACTCAGCTAACCTGGAGACCGGCCACATTAGTCAGCAGGTTTTTACTGACACAGACAGAGATACTTTGTGTTTCAGAGTAGAATTAGTGAAGGGAAGAGAAAACAACACCACAACAACAACAACAACAACAACAGCATATGGGCCTTTGGAATTTAGCAAAAAAGGTGAGAGAAATGTTTGTTCCAATAACAAAAAGTAAAACTTTAAATTGTAAGAGATGGCCAGAACTAACCAACCATATATGAACTTGTTACCTGTTTAAACTGACATGGGTAAGAGAAAAAACTTTTTAGACAAATGTTATTATTTACAAAGTTGTATGGTTTTAGTAATCAATGTTATTTATATACATATTGGCGATTAAAACATTTAATCAGATGAATTAAACTTCAATTGATTTATTATAATTTATAACAATTAATCACAGGAAATTGTCATTCCTAAATACAACTTTTTTTTTTGACTTATGAATTATCAATATACGTCATTCCTAAATACAACTTTTTTTGACTTATGAATTATCAATATCGAGAAAAGTAATCGAAAACTCAAATTGAACGTTTAGCTTTATAAAGTTGCTGGGTTTAGGTTTCTACTATTAAAATTGACAGTTGATAATTAAGTCAGTCAGCTGGTCAACCACAGGCTGACTGATTGGCCTGTTTTTGGTGAGGCTAATCTGGCGCAGGTGGATGGACCGTGGAATTAATGGCCACATTCTTTTAATTAATTTAATATGCCATAAAAATATTTTAATCTGATTAATTTCACAAGTTAATTAATTTGATTAATGCATTGATTCCGAGCGCCCTGGGTAGAATACACATATTAAATACATAATAAATGTAACAGTACCTTGAAATCCCGGGGGAATGTGACCGTCCAGTTTTGAAGGCTCCTCCTAAAGGCCATTAAATGACTCCTTGGTTCCAGAGATGAGCTGTTCCTGGAGTCACGTAACACAAATAAAGTGCAGTTTCAGAAGCCGGTCCTGGAGGGGGAAGAAAAGAAACCAAAACACTGTCCAGTGGTTGGGAAAACGCTGAGTCTCAGGAGTGTTGTACTGTTTGTGTTTGTACATTGGCAATTATAACAAACACAACTTACAATATAAAAGGTAATGTGGCAGTATTATACAGTATGTAATTGATTGCAGGCTCCACTTTAAGCTGTCAGACGCTGCTGCATTGTGTTGCTGCAAAAAAATCCAGCGACAGCAAAGTCCAGTTTCACTTTTTTTCCCCAGGACAAACACTTTTGTCGTCGGAGCCTCTGCATCAGCGCCTTTGCTGTGCCATAGCAACTTTTATTTAGAGAAAATAAA